GACCTCACGAGAGAATCCACCATCAAAGATGGCTGAGAGTGCAGTGTAGCCCCAGGCATGGGGCCCAGGAGATCATGATTTCAGGGCTAAGGTGGTGATTGTAGGTGGACCACCATGTTCCCAGGGTACTTGTGTATGTGTGTGTGTGTGTGTGTGTGTAAAACCTCATTTTGCCTGGGGGCACTGATCAATTTTTGTGTGTGTGTGTGTGTGTGTGTGTGTTTCACTATGGATAAATGAATCAAGTGTAGAGAAGAATGAAAGATGTAGCACCCAAAGGCCCAAGAAAATCTGATGAGGAGCTCCTTTAGTAAAGGAAACATAGGATAGAGAAGAAAGCAAATCTCTTCAAGCTTGAAAGAAGGAATCATGAATCCTTTGAGTCAAAGTACCAGGTTGTATATGTGGGAGAAACCAAGGCAAGTTTCAGCAGAAAAAATTGCAGGATAGGGACTGAACAGCAGGCTGAAGAGCTCTCAGATAGCTGGCTGGGCAGGTGAAGGTGGAGGGAGGTCAGCAGTAGGGGACAAAACCAGGGGTCAGAACAGGGTGATTCTGGGCAATCCTCCCTGGAAATCATTATATGCCAGCTACTTTGCTGAAAGCTTCATATATGCTGATTTCTTCACCACTTTCAACAACCCTGTACACTGGGTACCACTGTTATTCCATTTTATAGATGGCAAAATCAAAGTATAGAGAGCCTCTGGCCAAGGTTATTTTGGGCAGAGCCAGAGTGTGAACTTTGGGAACCTAGCCCTTTATTGTGTCCTAAACCAGAAGCTCAGCCCAGTGACGCTGTTGGGGGTTTACCCAAAGACCCTCCCCGTGCAGAAGTGAGAGGGGCCTCAGAAGAGCGTTTCAGACCCTGCAGTCAGTTGGTGGAGCTCTTCTGACCAGGAAACTTTCACTCTAAACTGTAACCTCATTTGCCTGGGGACATTGATCAATTTGTGGCAATCATAACTGTACAACCATGTGAAGGGGTTGCCAGTGTTCCTCTGCCCCAGATGTTCCAGCAAAAGCCAGACTACTATTCCTCGGGAAAGTCATGAAGGGCTTTACATAATCCCTTAGTGTATTTGCAAAATCAGGTCGGAATGATTTTTGGCTGTTTACTGTTTTGTTAACCTTCATTTCCTTCCTCTCCTCACCTCCAAAGGCAGGCTCCAACCTAATTCTATAATCCCACCTATTCACTGAACTTCTAACCCATAATCATTTTTACCCTGAAATAAACCTGCTTTCACCATCATTATACTTAGGAGCCCACGAAGCCTCAAACACACCAGCAACACCACAATGATGACTCTCTCCTCCCAGAGGCCCTGTAAGCCTTCCTTACTTATAGCTGTGAAGTATTTTGAGAAACTTGAATTAAAGTGCTAGAGAAAGCACAGCACACATTTATTGCTCATCTTGGAAAGACAACAGCAATGAGCTTCCAAAACTATCTTTGATTAACATAATCTGGGTGTAATGAATATGGATACTGTCAATAGTCACCTAGAAATATGTTTTCTTCTGTGCATTTTGTTGTCTCCAGTAAATTTCCTACCAAGAATGGAAATGCCTCAAGCCCCTGTTTTCATCAATAAAGCAAGAGCTCAGAGCAATCACATAGGGGGAATTAAGCCAAGAAGGAATTCTAACTACCCTCAACCTCTGTTCTAGTGAATTATCCACATTCTCACCACAATTTCTAATTACTAGGAATATGAAATGTAGATAGAAATTGCTGTCTCCCTAATATGCCTGGGTGTTTTTCAGTGTCCTCATGACAGTTTCTGATGAAGGGCTGGCCAGTGCCAGTCCTAGGGGGTTATCTCCAGACAGAGAAGACTCCACAGACATTGCCCCCTAAGGAGAGGTAACAAGAGACCCTGCCACGAGCCCAGAATGGGACAGGAAACAGGATGTACCTGTCAAACTCATGGTCCCCTGTGGAAATGGTCACATCTGGTTTTCCACTCCTAGTACTCATCTTGGCATTCCAGCCCCTAAACTGGTGACTCCTAGAAATCCAGGAGTCCAGAAATGAGCTCTGCAAGTAGACACACAAAATCAAGCTCTGGCTGTGCCCCTTAAGACCTGTGTGACCTTGAACAAGCAGGCAGACCTCTCCTCACACCTCCTCTGCAAAGATGAATTTCTTATGAGGACTAAATGAATGGACATGACACACAAAGCCTCCCCTCACCCTGTACCTGTCACATTCACCTCCAATGCTATAACTTAACTAATTACATCTGCAGTGACCCTATTTCCAAACAAGGTTATCTTCTGAGATTACTAGGGGTCAGGACTTCAGCATTTGTATTTGGAGGGACACAGCTCAGCCCTAACATAGTCCTCCCCACTCTCAAGTGGCCTGACTGTCTTTGTCAACCTGTATGCTGTTTTGTCTCTCCCTGCTAAACATCAGCGCCGGGACAGCAGGACCTTGCATGTCATCTTTACCACAGCAACTCATTGGTTAAAGCTGGGCTATTACAGAGGAGACTCTGGGAATATTTTCTTGAATGAGTGAATGAATGAATGAATGAGTGAACCAAAACTAAGTCAACAAGTCAACTTTCTATATAAGAAAAACATTGAAGTCATAATAGTGAAGTGACTGTTCAGTTATTAAAAACAATATTTCCATAACTATGGATGTAGGGAAATTTTCAAATATATTGTTAAATAAAATAAGGAAGTTTTAAATTATAATAAATAGTAAATCTCTTTTATTTAAAAAATACACGTGTATATTTTCTAATAGATGTGTCTACACACTTTTTAGAAAAGAGCTGAAGAAATGCAAATCAAGTATTAATGATGGCTTGTTGCTGGGTGGTTATTCTATTTGTTCATGTGGTTTTTTATTATTTATATTGTCTAGTTTTCTGCAATAGACTTGCTAAGATTTTTAACAAGAAAAATAATAAAAGGCAAGCTTTTCATAATAAAACAAAATAAGCCTTCTCCCTTGTGACATGATTCAGGTGTCCATCATCTCTCATCTGTGCAGTTCCGAGCCTATCACCTGCTTTGCACACAGCAGATGCCCAACAGATGGATGGATGGCACTGAGTAGATATGTATATTCATTTCCCTCTAAGAAGCAACCAGTGCAAGTGTTCAGGCAGCCTCCCCATATACATGTCGTGGTCCCACAGCTGTGAAAAGAAGAATAAGAAGGAGATAAAGAGCGGAATAAGAGAAGGCAGAGAAGGAAGGACAAAGGGGGGAAGGGAATGAGAGGAGCAGGAAAAAGAGTTCAGATACTCTAGGCTCTAAGAGGAAATTAAACCAGAATGGTTGTCCCCCAACCCCTCTGAACCAAACTGTCATATTCCACCTGATTCCCCAAATTAGTGTTTGCAAAGCCTTCAGAAAGAGACAAGTGCTATATTAAGTGCTGAGTAGTATTAATTAATAATATTAGTAAATTATGCAGAGAGGTACCTATTATACACACAAATGCAATAGGCATACGAGTACAGTACCTGAAATAAATATTTGGTTACACTTCAAAATTCTTTTTAGATCTTATAAGGCCTCTGGCTTCCAAAGAAAATAGTTTCATACAATATTTTCATTTTCTAATTTGACAAAACTTTAGAGGTCTCAACTAACACCATAGTTCTCAGAGGAGAGGACAGAGGTGAGGAGATTTCTGCCCTCTTGCTCAAGATCATAGAGGTCTTAAGGGGCAGAGCCAACTCAACATCCTTTTTTACAATGAATATTTTGTCAAACCACTCTTTAGTATCCTGAAGTGAAATTCAAAGATAACCTACCCATATCCAACATATTTCAGTACATAAGTGCCCAGGCATGTCCAAATGAAGTTGTCAGACACATGCACTATACAAAGAATCACTGCAAATACACCATTTCCAAATGACAGGCTGTCACAGAGGTGCTGCATGAGAGATACAATACCATGAGTAGCTCTGCCATGGGAGCCTTAGTTTTCTGAAATTATGGAAAACTCCTCATATATTCCAAACTAAACAAATTAAAACCTCCCTTTGACATATTCTGTAGCTGCTTTCCTAAATAATTCAATGCACTTGTATATTAAAACTATCCAAAATATTCTGGATGTTTATATTTAAAACAGAATTAATTCTAGGTCCAGACCATCATCACAAGGATGTCCATCTACAGAATGTCTGGCAAGATATTTGAAAGACGCATGACACTGTCATGTACTATCTTACTCCAAATGCCAGGAGCACTCCTCACCATCCTAATCTTCAAGGCAAAGAAAAGGTCAAAACATTTTTCATTTCATTTGAAAGCAGAGTTGAAAACAAACCGATGGGTGGCATGGCTCTTCTTGAGAATCATAGGTCTAATTCTATATTTTTATGTAAAAAATGAGAACGCTGTGTCCCCAAAGAATATGCCCAAAAGTCAAACACGTCTTGGCAGAGCTAAGTACTTAGAGTCTGATGTATAAGCCTTTTCCCACGTGCCAGGCATTTTCTTAAACTCCTTACAGACATGCACTCATCTGATCTTAACATCAGCACTGGGAAGAGATTTCACCATTCCCTGGATGGCTGAGACTGAAGCACAAAGAAGTGAAGTAGCTTAGCCTGGGATGTAAAACAGTCAGTGGTGGACCTGCCTCTTGAGAATGACTATGCAACATGATGCAAGCTTCAGACTCTTGTTTCAGACTGGAGGGCAAACACCAATTGGAGAAGGAAGCTGGGCGTTGTGGTGCACGCCTGTAATCCCAGCACTCAGGAAGCTGAGGCAGGAGGATCGTTGTGAGTTTGAGGCCAGCCTGGGCCACAAAGTGAGCTCAAGGTCAGCCTGAATTGCATAACAAGACCCTGTCTCAAAAAGACAAAAAAAAAAAAAAAAAGGAAAAGGAACCTTCCCATATTATGAGCATAAAAGATGGAGCTGTTTCTACTAGCTCAGCTTCAACCATGCCTTTAAATCATGTTTTGCTCCCCATTTGTCTTATCTCCCCTTTTCTTGTGTTTTTCCTGCAGATATTCATGCCCAGGAGAAGACTGCTGCGGGTCCCTCTGGACCTTTCCTAAGCAGGAGATCCCCATTCACCAGATGACTTCCGGAACTATCCACTAAGGTTTCTGCAGCCCTCCTCCATCAGCTGAGCTGCACTGCAAGCCCCACCACTCAAGATGAGTGGCTTCCTGGCCTCGCTGGATCCCCGGCGCGTGCAGTGGGGGGCTGCCTGGTGTGCCATGCACTCCAGGATCCTACGCACCAAGCCAGTGGAGTCCATGCTGGAGGGCACCGGGGCCACCACAGCACACGGGACCAAGCTGGCCCAGGTGCTCACCACTGTGGACCTCATCTCTCTTGGAGTTGGCAGCTGCGTGGGCACTGGCATGTATGTGGTATCTGGCCTGGTAGCCAAGGAAATGGCAGGGCCTGGTGTCATTGTGTCCTTCATCATTGCTGCGGTTGCATCTATATTATCAGGTAAGTGTCTCAGGGAAAAGAAGGCCTATGGGAAGTGTGTCTATTGGCCTGGTTATTGCCTTCCCAAGTTTTCTAGACTGTTCAGTGATGAGGTGTCTGAAGTGGCAGAGAAGAGATCCTCCCTCCCCTTTTGCCTCTACTTCCAGGAAGGTCAAGACGAGGTTTTTAACTCAATTGTAGTAGCTTTCCTTTTTCTTCCTTTTTTCAATACAAATGTTTATTTGGTGCCCTGGATGTGTCCCAGCTTCTCACTACCCGTTATGCTTTAATGGCTCTATTTTTATTTTAACTCTCCCCGTCACTGAAAGAAGGTCAAACCCTCAGGGGGAGGAGTAGATGATGTAGCTAGGATAAAAATGGTAAAGAAGAATAGGCAGAGTGACAAAATGACAAGTCGATAACGCTGACATGGTTAGGATTTGATAAGCTTCAAACTGGCATTGTGCCACACAAGGAGAAGGAAGCCAAGCTAAGAGTTTCAGAGACATTGTGAGAATCACAAAGTGCCATCTGCCACACTGTCTCAGCAGATTGATTATTCATAGAGGTAGATCTGTTAGCGCCTTCTCTCCCTTTTAGAAAAAGTCAAGAAACTCACTTTTTAAAAATCAGGTGCTAGGACTTACATACTGACAATGTATGAAATGGCTCTCCCATTGCTGTCCTTCTTCCCACCTCTTCTCTCGAGTTGCAGTCCTCAGTACTGCAATTCCTCCTGGAATACAAAGAGGAGATCAGTGGCCAATTTTAAAAAGAGGGAAGAATAAAACTTCCTGCTCCTTGATGGTTATACTACAAAAGCATGAGGTTTTGCTGGGTTTGGGGCTGACAGATCATGTGGGTCCAGCTATGTCCTGGCAGTGAGTTTGGTTCCTTAGAATGTTTCACAGAATTCTGATTTATCAGGAATTCCGAATATGAATATAGTACATACCATCACAAGCAAACCACCACCCTTCGTTCATGCATGACGCAAAGACAGTCTACAAGCATGCAATGGAAAGGTATACTGGTTCATAGTTACATTTTCATGCGTGCATGTGAGTGTGTGTGTGTGTGTGTTGTATTGGGGACTGAACCCAAGGCATTCCCACTGAGCTACATCTCCATCTTCAACCCATTTTTTTGAGACAGGGTCTTACTACATTGTTAACTTGCCCAGACTGTATTCAAATTTGCAATCCTCCTGTCTCTGCCTGTCAGAATACTGAGGTTACATATTTGTGCACCATCCCCAGATGACATTATTTTAATTTGACAAGGAAAAGATCTGTGATGTCTAATCTTCTCCATTAGTTTTATCACCATTCCTTCTTCCTGAAGTCGAACTCTCATATGCATGAATATTCCAATAATTGAAGTTTCTGCAGAATAAAATATTTTTCTCCTTCACAGGTGAAAATAAATGATTCACATGAGTGAACTTTGTAGACACTTGAAATTCTATTAATAAGAATAGAATTTCTTGACATGGATTCATTTATCCAAAAGTATTATCATAACCAAACACAGTGGCATATGCCTATACGTAGTTCCAGCTACTTAGGACCCTGAGGCTAGAGAATTGCAATTTGAGGCTAGCCTGGCAACTTAGTGAGACCCTGTCCCCACCAAAAAAAGTAACCAAAGGGTTAGGAGTATAACTTAGTGGTAGAGCACTTGCACAGCATGCATGAACCTCAGGGTACAATCCATATTACTGTGAAAAGAAAAACTGCTATCACATAGAAGAGATTAGACATGGTAAGATAAAAAGTAGACATGTAACTTGGGGACACAGGGCAAAGGCTTTGCTCACTAAATGAAGACTATACAGTTTTCTCTAGAGCCCATCCAATTTTTACTAAGTCCTCAGAACATGATTCCTGTGAGTGAGTAACCTGGGTCTTATCCCACAGGGCTACGTAAGAGCTAGAAAGAAGAACAGGGTCTGGTAGCACCTTGGGGACCTGCTCCCTGCCTCAGTCCTCATGGGCACTGCAGGTTTAATCTCCACTCGTCCGCTGCTCAGAGGGACAGCCTGGGGCTTCCCAAGCCAGTGCTGCGCAGGAGCCAAATTGCAGCAGCTGCCAAGAGCAGTGACTGTGTATGGCTCCCTCCAGCTCCACAGTCGTGCCGCCCCACGGCTGGCCTCTAGTCAGCTACGATGGAGCTAAGCATTCACTGTTGCTGTTACTGTTTCTCAGGAAGCTGGTTGCTCACCAGCACATCACTAGTACAGCTCTATCACAGGCCCTGGTGCTGCCACGTAACTGGTGCCTTCACCACCGCACCAGGCACCAGCAGAACAAAGCCCTTCCTCTCCCCAAACAGGATCCCCCCTTTCTACATATGGCCCCGTCCATAACACCATTCTACACTTTATAACCGACCCATCTGTATGCTGAGGCCAGCCAGAATTCTTCTGGAGTCTCCAGCCACGGCCAGGACTCATAAACAACTTAGTTGGCACGCTTAGAGCAGGCTTCTCCAACCAGGTCTCTCAGTCCTGTGATCCTTCGTCACTAAAGTTCCCTCTCTCCCTACTGTCTTCTTTCCACTGCTGTGTCACATACCCAGATTGCCTCCCCCTGGACCAAACTCCCTGCTGCTTCTCCATAGCACAATAATCAAATTTCCCTGCATTTTTACCCTTGTTGATACATCGTCCTTTTTTCCTCCTGGCATTAATTAAAACCTGGCTTACCTGAAAGTAAGTCCAATCTCCTTGACTGTACAATTACATTTGACAATAATTGCTGCTTGGTTGTAAGAATAGAGTGAAGAGAAAAATTAGAATAACTAGATTCAGCTTTTTCCAAGAAGAGGGAGAAAAGTGCAATGAGGTTAAGGAATTTGCAAAGGCAAAGTAAACTGTGCTGAACCATACAATATAGGCTGCATAAGGAGGAAAGTGAAAACATCAGAGTGTTGATGACTCATGAAAAGTTGTAGGATCAAGAGAAACTGGAGTTTTCAGTAAGGTTAAGAAATCACTGGAATAAAAATACTGAGAAAGTAAGATAAAAGATTAGGAAGTGATGTCAGAGACCAAAATGTATGAAATCCAGGTTCTGATGTGATACAGTAAATAATAAAGTTTAGTTAGACTTGGAATCTGGTTCAGCCACTGACCTCTGTGAGACCTTGAGCAAGTTTCTAAACTTCTCTATGCCTAAGTTTCTCTACTTTGAAAATTAAAATACCTACTTTATAGAGTTGTTGTGAAGACTAAATGAGATGCTGATAAAGTGCAATGCCTAGCACATAGCACTAAATAAGTGATGATTATTATTTGTGCCAAATCCTATGTTAAGTGTTTGCCATGTAGTATATTTAAAACTCATAATGTCTCATCAAGGTTGTGCATTAGTGTGTTCCCCACTGCTATAACAAAATACCTGAGTCTGGATAATGTATAAAGAAAAGAGGTTTATTTAGCTCACAGACCCTGTGGTTCATGGGCAAGCACCAGCTCTGGTGTGCACCCTGCCCTTTTTGTGTCACATTACAGTGAATGGCACCATGGGTGTGTATGTGTGATAGAGATCACATAGTAAGGGAGAAAGCCAAAAGTAAGAGGGGTTGGTCTTTCTCTTTTATAATAGCTCACTGTCAAAGGAACTAAACAGGATCCCACCTAAATCCCTTGGGAAGGAAGCACCTCCAATGACCTGATCACTTCCCACTTGTCCCTACCTCTTAAAGGCCCACCGCCTTTGATAGCACCACGCTGGGGACCAAGTTACCGACACGTGTACCCAGTGGAAAACCATATCCACATCATAGGAGTAGGTTTCATTGTCTCCAAATTTACATATGTGGCAAATGGGACTTTAATGATGGAACCTAGATACAAGTCTGTTGTGCCAACAACATCTTTAGCCTATTAATTTTAGTCACTCAAGTGCTTTTTCCCCCCCTAGAATAATGGATTTTAAGAAGGTTGCCTATGGAAATTTTTTGCCCATTTCTAAATGGGGTTCTTTGTTTTCTTATTAACTTTTCTTGCTTTTATTAGTACATGTGCCTTTTTTAAAAAAATTACATTTATTGGTACATTTTAGATATACACACTGATCACATTCATTACAGGGAATTTCATTTTTTATTAGTACGTTTGCAGTGCATAATGCTTACATTTATTGTGGGCAGTTGGTACATGTACATAAGCTGTATTAACTTTTAAGAGTTCTTTATATATTCTGGATACCAGTCATTTATTGGGTATCTACAAGGGCTAGTCAAAAAATACTGTATGTTTAATTTTTTTAAAAATGAATTACAGTAAAAGGCACATTGCCAGTAGTCCCCCTCCAAACACACCCCCTTTCTTTGAGCACAGCCACTTTCTGAAGCAGCTCTGGGAGTCCTTTTCATGAATGTATTTCAGTGATATGATCAGAAACACAGTCAATGCTGCCGCTGAGTGCCATCCAACAGAAAGGCAGCCTCGAAAATATGATGTGTCCTCTTCCCCTTTTATGCACCGGATGTGGCACCCGCAAATTCTGGCGCCTCCCCAAAGTCAAACCAATCATGACAAGTAAATGTTTTGAATTGATTCAGGGTATCAAGGCAGCCACAATAACACAACTAAAGATACAAAGAGCTAGTTCCAGAACTACTTCAGCAAGTGGCAAGAATGATGGGATAAGTGTGTTCAAAGTAAGGTGGAACATTTTGAGGGCGATTGATGGCAATTTGCCTTTTACTATAATAAAAATTTTTAATTTAATCATTCACTGTATTATTCCATTTGACCTCACATTGATGCAAATACTTTCTCCTATTTAGTGACTTTTCTTTTAATTTGTGTTCATTTCTTTCAAAAAATATAAATGCCCAGGCTCCACTGCTTGAAATTCTAATTCACTCAGGTAAGGGTAGGGATTAGGGATTGAAATTTTCTTCATGATTCCAGGGACATTTAATACACAGCCCAAGATGAGACCTACTGTGTGACAGGAGCAAGGACCTACCCTCCGCGGCAGCCATGACCCACACCAACAGGAAATGGA